ATCCAGACTTCTCACTACTTTGACGAATTTTGCTTCAGAACTGATATTCTCTGCCAGGGCAAATTTTACTGGCTCCATAACCAGCGTGAAGAAACCCACTAGTTTCATAAAACTTCATATGAATCTTTTACTTGAGTTCCCAGCTTTGATAAAACAGTACAGTAATTCATACAGAATGCAGGGCTTGTGAAACTGTTTTGCAGTGCTTCACTGAAAAGTGGGCTTGTTTTCAGGGAGCTGTGGAAACGACTTCCTTGCTCAACAACTTCCTTTGCCATGTATCTTATCAATCAAAAGCTGTAATGGAAAAACACTTAAACAGCTTAACACAACAGTAGACGAATACTCTCAAAGACCCTTTTCTTATTTTAATGCTCGTTTTAGAGATAAAAATAAAAGATAGACTTTATTGGGGGGAAAAAAACGCAACAAACCACAACACAAGAAACACTGGCTATCCTGGTTAACAGTATCATAGCTACTTGCAAGAAGCATATAGGAGAGAGCTGAAACGATCTGATACGTTGCAATTGTAAATCTGTGCTCTAGCCTATCATACAAAATACAGTCTGTTCTTTCTTCTGCCTATTTTCCTCTTTGCTTTTAAATCAGACAAAAAAAAGAGGTTAGTTTTCAGACTGTGTAATGCAGTAATAATTCTTTCAAATAGTTGAAAAATGCTACTTTAACATATTTCCCCATCCTCCATAGAAGGAAGCCTCATGCACTCATACATGTCATCTGCATGATTTTCTTTAGGATATCTTTGTGGGTTCCATTTGTTGTCAGGAAAAAATAAAGAGACTGCATAGTTTACATGACATGAAATACACATTCAAACACAGCCTAAAACGGTATGAGAGACTACTACAAGAGTCATTAATACGGGAAGAAGACTGATATTAAACAACCAAAGACAAGTCTGAGGCCCAGAAGTGAACTTTTAGGTTTTTTCTTAAAAAGTAAGCAAGCTAAGTAGGAAAGCCCCCCCCCCCCACCCAAGGAAAACCTAAAAATCCATTCACCATTCTATCCCCCTCCATAGGTGTGTTCTTACCGCATCTCCTGACATCCTGACCCAACCTTTCCCATCCCCTTCCCATCCCCTTCCCCAACGTTAACTCCCTACCTCACCTCCTCAGTCTTGCAGTGCTTACCTTCTTAGTATCTCCCACTATCCCATAGATGTTCCCCAGGTAGAAAAATAACTCAGCACTGTGCAGACAGATACTTTTAAACAATGTCTGCATGATTCAGTAATGCTATCAGGTAGCAACAGACTTAGCATAAGTTGATAGACAGTAACTACAAAATGCAAACCTTTATGTTCAGTAATTTTGCTGTTGGTAGGAAAAACCCTAGGGCTACTCAAGCTACAACTAAGACTGATCATAGAAGAGACAGCACTAGCACTTAAAAGTTATAAGAAAACAATTTGCCTGTGAGAAAGAACCACACCTGTTCAATTTCATTTGATTACTACGTGGCACCAGCATCAGCAGATCAATCAACAGATAAATAGATTCAAGTCTTACAGTGGAAGATCCCAAAACACATTTTGAGAGTGGCCAGGCTCTCAAATAATAACAAAAAACTTGGAGTAGGAAGGGAGTTCCTTCAATGGTGAGTGTGGAAAAAGAATTACTATTTTTAAAGGCTATTGTAGTGTAATAAATTATTACATGAATCATAACTGTCTCAGTGTTACCTTGTTTCTTTCGTTTGTTCCTTGAATTCATCTTCTAATGCTATCTTATGTAGCAATCCGCTAGTTCTTTGGATCAGGCTCTATTTTTCATTATGTGCATCAACTGTGCCCCATCATGACTGGAGACTCCAAATGCAGCTGCAATACCTAGAAATACATAAATATCTTTTTTCATGAAGCATTTCATTACAGAGTTGTCAGACTGTATCCCCTCGATGAAAAATGCTGATATTTAGACTTTTCATCCTAATTTGAGACAAAACCAAGTGCTGAAATATTCAGAGTTTTTTGTAAAACGGAAATTCCATTTTTCAGTCAGCTCTACAGAGACTCATTAGAACACACGGGCCATCTCTCTTCACATGCAAGAGTGTTCCAGATACCATATTACTCAGTGTTTTTTCCAGTCTGGTTAGATTTTCACAACCTGTTTTTGTTAGTTTCCTGGTGCTGCAAATGTGATTATTTGATTTCTTTCAACTGAAACATACAGAGACATTCACAGGATATAAACCCCTATATGTTATCCAAAAAAGAACAATAATGTGAAAGATTTCTCGTGAAAAGTTTTCTGACGTAAAGGGAAATATCTCTTCTTCATGACATGGTGCATACGCACCTCACTAAAATAGAACGTGGGTCTGGAACTCACTGAAACTGTTTTCTTCCCGTATGCTGCAGCACTTGATTCAAGAGATGCTCTATTAAACCCAACTGAGAGGCCAAAGTACATAACATGTAATCATATTCCAACTACTTCAGGTTTCTATCACTTTTCCATTTAAGAAAAGCATTAAGTAAAATCTCCCAAAGTGTTGCACTCAATTGTATGTACCTGCAAAGTTTGCACGCTCCATCTTCTCTTTAATGTACATTAGTTTATAATATGCTTTGGAGTATATACACATGGCAGATGATAGATAAGTATGAATTTATTAATAACAAAAGCAATTTCATTGTTAACGATGCAAAAGATCTCTAGCCACCTGTATCCAATTTTATGTTTATTACTCCAGAAATAGTTAACAGAAAGCTTAAAAGACATTTTTCAGGAGAAAAATGTCTATTTTAGAATGATACCTTAGAATACAGTATATTCATAGATATTGAGGGATTGTTATGAGCTCCTTCAACCAGAAGGACCATAGAATTTCACTCTAATTCCTGTATTAGGCCCTTAACCTACAGGTGATCTAGACCATCAAGTCTATAACTCCATGTTTTTTTACATAGGTGACTGAAATATGAAAATAGAGTAAGATCTCAGATGAGAGCTCTGTTTTCTTGAGAGTACTTGAGAAAGATCGTTCCTAAACAACCATCCAGGGCAGTCCAGGAGAGGGTTTGAAGAGGGGACACTAGTATCTAAACCCTTACTTAGAATTTTCTTATTTTCTCTTTTGCTTTGTTTTGGAAGTATGATGTGACTTAGAGAAGCCAGTCACCAACAGCTAGCAGTTACCTTTAGGGCAAGGGTCTGTGGTCAGGGGACAAGGTCTGAGCACGTTCCTAGCGAGGCACGGGACTCTAATGCATTCAGTGGCTCTGTTCACGCTCTGCAGTTTTCCTCAGTGGAAAAGAAAAAGCAGTAGAAGCAAGTTGTGGGCCTCTTTCTTGTCTTTCACCCACGTTAATTTGAAGTCTGGTGTAACTCTGGCTATAAGAGTTGTGTGCCTTATTATCTGAGCTAAAGAATATTTGCTGTTGAGAGTCTATGCATGCTTACCCCATCACCCCAAAATGCAATTCATTTAGATAACAAACCCGGGGGAAACCATTTCCAGCACTAAGATGTATGGAAGAAAACACGAGTTCCGCATAAGAGGAAGAGCATTGCGGTTTGCCGTACAGTATTGTAGCTGACAGCATTACGGTTTGGTTTCTGTTGCCGGTTCCTGCAATAAATTCCAGTCAAACCCCATTTACTCTGCCCGGTGTGGCCCTTGCTTTCCAGAAATCCCCTACCAAAGTAGCTGCTCAGGCAGGCTGGCAGCGGGATTTGTGTGGCCCCTCGGGGGTGGGCCGTGGGGCCATGTCCTGCCAGGCGTGGGTGAGGAGGGAAGGCCTCCCCACGGGCCCAGCCGATGGCACCGGCCCCTCGCCAGGACTCCCCGCTGCCTCCGTGCCGGCTCAGTGGCCAGGTTATGCCACGGGGCTCGCGAACTCCCTGAGGAGCACCCAGCAGCTCCCAAACCTACCAGCTCCGGCGCCCCGCCGCCATCCCGACACTGCTTCACCCCCTCAGGCGCAGGGGGCACCTGAGGAAGCTGCCGGAATCCGGGTGGGCCTGCTGCCTTCCCCACCCTGAGGGAACGCTGAGCGTGGCAGGTCTGTCGTGGGGACGAGGATGGAGGGAAAAGACCCATCTCCCGGCTGAGCGCTTGAGGCAGCGGGCGTGAGGGAAGCAGCCGGGAACAGTCGCAACCAACAGGCAGGCTGCATCCTGCAAGCGACGCCTAAGAGCCTTACACTGCCATCTAAAACTGTCCTTCGGCTGGCCGAGGCGGGAAAGGGAGAAGGGGTCGCCTCTCCTAGCTACAGAAAGGAGCGATTATAGCACATTTCCACCATGCTGTCTGGGCGGTTGGTCCGTGTGGGAAACCCCGGCTGTGGCAGCGCCCAGAAGGCCAAGGTAGGTGTTAGCCATTACCTCTGCAGGCAGCCAGAGGCCTGGCGTGGGTACCCGGGGAAAGCCAGGTACCCTGGGGAACTGCTAATGAGCTACGAAGCCATTAATCCGTGGGTCAGCAGGGCGAGCCCAGCCGTGTGGGCAGAGCAGGGTTCGGCCCTAGCAGGGTGCTGAGCTCGGCCATGGCCACCCTCCAGGGACGGGGCGTACCACAGAAATCGGGAAATACCCCCAAATGCGGGGCAGGGGATGTTTGCTGCTGAAGAGTTTCATTTTTTTAAGGGGTATTTAGGAACATTATTATTTAAGGCGTATTCTAAGGCTCGGCCATGGCCTCCCTCCAGGGACGGGGCGTACCACAGAAATCGGGAAATACCCCCAAATGCGAGGCAGGGGATGTTTGCTGCTGAAGAGTTTCATTTTTTTAAGGGGTATTTAGGAACATTATTCTAAGGCGTATTCTAAGGCTCTTAGGGTTTGTGTGGGTTTGCGGTTTTTTTTTTTTAACTTCTTAATCCTTCTCGGTTTTTAACGCTTTAATTCGGCTCAATTTCCCCCCGCCCTTCGCTGAGGAATTAGACACAAACGACTGAGGCGGGAAGGCGGTCAAAGTCTCCTTTAACGACACATCAATCCGCCATCGGATTGACGTCAGAGTCAGCCAGTAGAGTTACAAATCCCCTCCCTCCCCGGTTCGGATTGGCTGCGGTTCCCGGCGGGAGGCGGGACTTCTTCTCAAACCGGTGGCGCCAAGGCCGGGGCGGCCCGCCATGGAGGCCGTGCTGGAGCAGGTGGAGCAGCTGCCGGCGCTCCTGGCCGTCTCCCGCTCCGCGCTGGTGCGGGACTGGGACGCCCTCACCCTGGACAGGGCGCTAGAGTGGGGCCGGTACTTCCAGCACCTGCACGATCGCTTCCGCACCCGGCCTCGGCTCCGGGAGGCCCTCGGGCGGCGGCTGCGGCGGGGTCAGCCGAGCCCTCTGCTCGGCTTCCCCCACCTGGGACGCTGCCCGCAGCTGCTGGGCCTGGCGCTGCTGGAGAACCGCGCTCTGCCTCCCGCCGCCTGCCGCCGCCTCATCCACAGCCTGCTGCAGCCTGCCGGCGCGGAGGCCGGCCCGGAGCCCCGCAGCCTGGCGCTCCTCGCCCGTCGGAAGGCCGCCTCCCGCCTGCTGGCGCTGCCCGGCGGTCCGCCGCGGGCCCCGGAGGG